AGCGGCTAGGTGAGAGAGAAGATGGATGCGTTGTCAGGTCAAGGAGGCAGGGATGACAGGGAGGTTTGCTCATGGGATGAGGCCGGGGATGGGGAGATTTTGAAACTGGTAAAGTCCACATTTAGGCCAAAATCCCCAGCCCTACTCCTGCTCTCTCTATTTATTTCAGAGCTCCCTTCCCCTCCCCCATTTCTGAAGAAGAGTCCTGACCCGAAACATTCCTGCTCCTTTGATGCTGCCTGGCCTGCTGGTCTCCTCCAGATCCACACTGTGTTATCTCTAAGGAAGGATGTACTGGCCTTAGAGGATGTCCAGAGGAGGTATGCAAGAATGATCTTGGGAGTGAAGGGCTTGTCATTTGAGGAGTGGTTGCAGACTCTGGGTTTGTATTTGTGTAGGAGTGAGCAAAAATCTCAGTCATTTAGAATACTGGACCAAAACCCTGGATTTTTAATAGAACTTTTAAAACAAAAAGAAAGGCAGCTGGGCAGTGCTCTGGAATACACAATCACAGGGATAGCTATCTGGAACCATAGTTCAGTCAGAAATCCTAGTCACGCCTCAGCCCTAAAGGAACAATGAACCAGACCTAACTGGACCCTTCTTCGGAGGTGGGGGAGGGGAAGGGGATTCTGAGGTAGGTGGGGAAGGAGGGGGAGGCGGATAGAGGATGGATGGGGGGGTGGTGGTTGAAGAGGAGTTGCGGTGGGAGAGACATCCACTACTATCTCTGAAACAATTTCAACCCCACTGCGAAGCCTCTTCTAAGGATGCCTACCTTGAAGAAGTTACCCTCCTCCCTCCGGAAAGACCTCAGTGGATCTCTGTCCCACTGCAATTCCTCTCCACCTATCTTCTCCTTTATCCATCTTCTATCCGCCTCCCCCTCTCTCCCTATTTATTTCAGAACCCCCTTCCCCTCCCCCATTTCTGAAGAAGGGTCTAGGCCCGAAACGTCAGCTTTCCTGCACCTCTGATGCTGCTTGGCCTGCTGTGTTCATCCAGCTCTACACCTTGTTATCTCAAATTCTCCAGCATCTGCAGTTCCTACTATCTCTCGACAACAACTTCAGACATCTTGGGCTCTTCAGAGGTACCAAGGCATTCAACTTCAATTAGTATTCATTCTAAGAAACACTGAACATTCCACTTAAATCAAAACACATTTAGACCTACTTTAAACTATCAGGAAGCCAATTCACCTAAAAGGGGACAACTGAAACACAATGGATAGCACAGATTTGTGAGGTGATAATGGAGCACACAGTCTGTATAATTGCTGGTCCTGATCTGGGAGAGAGAGGGAGAGAGAGCCATCCCTGCAGCTACTAACAGAAGAGGGATCCCAGACAGTTACTCTTCCCGAGAACTATCTGCACAGCTATCTCCCTGAAACCCTACTGACACAGAGCAGTTCCATACCTGGGGAACAAACGGCAACCAACCACGACCAGCAGATTTGACGACCGATGACCCCCGAAAACCACCGACCTGACTGACAAGGCCTCAGACACATCCTGAGCTGAAAACCGGCTCATAAACCACCACAGAGTAAGAAAACCTAAGTTCTCAAACCAGACTGAACATCGTCCGAAGTCTTCAGTGAAACACCGGCTACGGCAAGTGGGAACAGCCAGCTGTATTTCAAAATCATGTTTATCCCCAGTGGTGAGTTTATTTCCTTGAGACCCAAAGTATCCAACCCAGCCAGCAGTGAGGGGAAAGTGGGTTGTTGACAGTGCAGGGAACTCCGAAGTTGGGAAGTCTGATTAAAATGTCTATGCTTGAAACTAATGTTTAGTTTCTAATAGTAATTAGCCTGTGTTAAGTTAATAACTGACAGTGTCAGTTTCACTGTTTTGAATTTGCCTTTTTAACTCTTGTATTTTATTCACCTTTGTTTTATTTCCCTGTTTATTACTTCTGCCTTTTTATTGTTGTGATTTACTCACCTTTGCATTCAATAAACGCAGAGACTCTTTGCCCTGAAACACCTGCCTACCGCCTTCTTCACTTCACATTCTTAAATTAGGTCCAGTGTCAGAACCAGGGATCTGGGGGTGATTAGAACCACCTAAAAATCAGCAGATTACTGATCGCAAACCAGAATCCCTACTTTTGTTGGAGTTAAGAAGGACGTGTTCTGTGGAATATCTCAGTGAAATCTACAGAGTACTGAAAAGCCTGGATAGAGTGGGCATTCCATGAGTAGGAGAGACTAGGACCCGAGTGCACAGCCTCAAGTCGACCCTTTAGAACTGAGATAAAAAGGAATTTCTTCAGTCAAAGGGTGGTGAATTTGTGGAAGTCCTTCCTGCAGAAGGCTGTAGAGGCTATGTCATTGAGTATTGTATAGGTATTTAAGACAGAAATAGAAAAGTTCTTGATTAGTAAGGGGATCAAGGATTACAGGGAGAAGGCAGAAGAATGGCTTTGAGGAACGTGTAAGCCATGATTCAATGGTAGAACAGACTCAATGGGCTGAATGGCCTAATTCTGCTCCTATACCCTATGGTCTTATAGACTATTTCATGTGCCCTGACCCTTTTTCAAGAGTAGAAACTTCAGTAGTACCTCTCTGTTTCTTATTCCAAAAGTTCCCTGATGCTGAATAGCAAACTGCAGAAATGCTCCTTCTCCACAAATTTTATAACAACTTTCATCACAGAGAAATGACTGGCTTAACAGTAGTGCCAGATTTAGGTTCCCTTATCAATCATTAAGGTCTTTGAGAGGTGAATTTTTTATTTCAAAAAACTTTGCTCTTACAATACAGACAAGGTATTGTTAGGAAATGTTGCACTTTATCTTTCTCAGAGAAGTATAAATTGGTTATGGCACAATTGGAGGCCACTTGATATATTGTGTCTCTGCTGGCTGTCTACAAGAGTAGACTCTATGACTCTATAACTCACCTAGTCCCACTCCCCACTTTTGCTTTTAGCCTAATTTTTTTTTTTGATACTAGTCCAATTCTGTTTTATGCCATATGTGAATCTGCCTCCACTGCTCTTTCGTGTGTTGCATTCCAGATGCTTAACTGCCAAACCATTCATGCAGTTTAAGAATACGTTGTCTCATTTAGGATTGAGGTGAAGAGAAAAATCTTTATCCAATGACTGATGATGAGCCTGTAGAAGTGTCAACCACAGAAAGGTGTTGAAGTCAATTCATTGATTTTTTTTTCAAGAAAAGGTTAGATATAGTTCTTAGGGCTAAATGAATCATAAGATATGGGGAAAAAGTGGAAACAAGGTGAGTTGATGATCAGCCATGATGCATTGAATGGTATAGCAGGCTCAAAGGGTTGAAAGGCCTACTCGTGCTCCTGTTTCCTATATTTCTATGTAATACTTACTGTGTAAAAGTGTGTTTCCTCCTGCTGCTGTTGCTCATTTTGTCAATCACTTTAAATCTGATTCTCAATCCTTCCACCACTGACTACAGTTTCTCCCTTTCTACTCTATTCAGACTCCTGATGATTTCAAACACTTTTGTCAAAACTCCTTGTAATCTTCTCATCTTGAAGGAGAATTGCCCCAGTTTTTCCAAACTATCCAGAATACAAAAGCAAAATCTTGCAGGTGCTGAAAATCTGAAATAATTCGGGGCAGCATGGTGGCTCAGTGGTTAGCACTGCTGCCTCACAGCGCCAGGGACCCGGGTTCGATTCCATCCTGTCTGTGTGGAGTTTGCAAATTCTCCCCATGTCTGTGTGGGTTTCCTCCGGGCACTCCGGTTTCTCCCACAGTCCAAAGATGTGCAGCCTAGGTGGATTGGCCATGCTAAATTGTCTGTAGTGTTCAGGGGTGTATAAATTAGGTGGGTTATATTGGGATCAGGATGGGTCTGGGTGGGATGCTCCAAGGGTTGGTGTGGACTTGTTGGGCCAAATGGCCTGTTTCCACACTGTAGGGATTCTATCATATGATAAGAAGTAGAAATGTTGAAAATACTCATCAAGTCTAACAGCCTCTGAGGACAGAAATGGAGTTAATATTTCAGACTAATGATACTTCATTAGAATTGAGGGAAATTAGAAACACAATTAGTTGAGTAATATAAAAGGGGTCATTGTAATAAGGAAGTAGGACAAAAGGTCTGTGAAATGCTGGAAGGTAGGAATGAAGGATTTTGTGGTACAAAAACCAAAGGGAGCAGTGATGGGACAGGTGAAAAAAAAAAGATGTTATTAAGTTTTGAAATTTGAAGCTCCTCATCCCTGGAACCATTTGCATGAATCCTTTCTGCATCCTCTTTGATGATTTCACATTCCTCCTAAAGAGTGGTACCCAGAAAAAGACACAATATTCCAGTTGGGGCTGAACCAGTATTTTACACAGTGTGATGAGGGCACTTCAATTATTAATATTTTAAGGATTCATATCCAAAGGATTATGAAAATTAGTTTACTTAAAATAGTGATGAGATATCTTGACTGAAGGGACACTATGCGACATTTCTTTTTTCAAAACCACTTAAAAGAAATCATGTATTTTAATCTAAGTATATAGGTAATAGTCTGTGCAAGTGCTTGGCTTTATTGGATCTCACAGGAATTTTAGTTATTTGATGGTGTGGAACTCAGTTAAGTTGTAGTCTGTGTTGAGATAAGACACTCCCTCCCCCACCCCAGCTCATCCTTCCCAAAAAGACTCTTTTGATGATCCCTTGTGAGAGCTGAAGACATGAAACAGTTGTTCTCCATGAGAATCTTCTCAAAGGCTTCCTCTCAACGTCTTCTGAACATACTGGTCTAAGAAGATGTCAGTGACATTTGCATGCATCTAGTGACAAGCAACTATATGTGTAATGATGCCAGACTGAAAGCCATACATAACATTTCTTATCTTATTATTTATTCTGGAGAATTTACAAGCTTTTAGCTGATGATTTTTATTCCAAATAATGTGTTTATTCTGCAGAGAAGTTATTTTTTCCCTTAACTGAGGTGTGTGTGTGTGTGTGTGTGTGAGAGAGAGAGAGAGACAAAGAGCAAATGTCTGTCTTGCGTTGTTTATTAGGGTAAACATTTATACTTTCATATCTCAAACAATGCTAATCAGCTTTGCATCTTTGTCAAATTAGTTTATTTATACAATCAATCAAAAATTGTGTTGCTGTTAAAGAAATCTAGTTGGCCGATTTTTATTTTGAAATTAATATAAAGTATTTAATTGACCATGTCACTAACTGATGAAACATTTACATTTAGGTTGTGCCATGTGAGCTAAAGGAACTAGAGAGAGACACTGCTCTCCTTCAATTTTGCTTTATTATAACGTTCATATGTTTGTATTTTCTGACCTTATTTATAAAGGCAAGGATACCATATACATTACTAATTATTTTTTCATCTTGCCCTTCATTGACTTATACATGATACCAACAGATCTCTCTACTACTAAACCCCTTATAATTTTATATGGCCTCTCCCTTTTCTTCTCAACATTAGACTTCATCTACCATTCCTCTGCACATAGCACCAGCTGGTCTACATCCATTTGCAGCTTATCAGATTTCACAATACTCCAGAGTTTATGTGAAGGAAAGAATTTTAAAATGTGTCCTGTACACCCAAGTCCAGGTCATTAACTTGTTAGGAAAATCAGAAATGCTAACACTGACCTCCTAAGGAATACCACTGCACATCATCCTCCAGTGCAAAAAGAATTCACCTCTATTTTCTTTTCTGTGACTTTAGACAATTTTGTATCAGTTCTGCTTCTGTTCTTTCATTCCAAGGGCTATAACTTTGCTGATAAGTCTGTTGTGGAACACATTGTTGATTGCCATTTCTTCCCGCAGGTCCTAAAAGTGTTAACTCTTGTTTGTCTGCACTTTTATTCCATGGGAGACTCTCTGATAAACTGCTCAAATGGCCATTATTCATAGATAATGGAGAATCAGCAGGTCATTGAGATGGTTGGCCGACATTGCAAGTCAATCACATTGTTGTGGGTCTGGCTCATGTGTAGACTGGATCAGGTAAGGATAGTAGATTTCTTTCTATAAATTGAAGAACATTAATGAATCATTTAGCTTTTTATGACAATCAACAATAGTTTCATAGTCACCAATGAATCATAGAATCATACCATACAGAAAAGGTCCTTCATCCAATTGGGTTTGCAGCGCTGAAACCACAGTGAATCTTCACGAGTCACACTTTCCAACACTAAGTCCATAACCTTGAATGTTATGTTGTTCCAAGTACTTTTTAAAGGTTGTGAGGTGACCTTTCTCAACTACCCTCCAGTGCAGTGTATTCCCAATTCCCACCACTCTCTGGATGAAAAGGTTTTGCTTTAAATTCCCTCTAAACCTCTTGCATTTCATCTAAAAATGGGCACAATCTTGTTAACGATCTTTCAGCTGTGGGGAACAGATGCTTTCTAACCACCTTGTCCATGCCCTTTATAATCTTATATACATCCATAAAGCCCCACTCAATATTTTCTACTCTAAAAAAAAACCTGAGCTTATCCAGCCTCACTTCATAGCTAAAGTGCATTGCTGAGACTAGCTTTCAACTCCAGACATTTTGTTTAATTAATTAATCTCCAGCTGTCCTGGTGGAGTATGAGCCCGTGCCTCCATAGATTATTTGGCCAGAGACATTATCATGCTGCTATTGTCTCCTCTGAGCTGGTGAGAGACCTTCCTTTCTGGAAGGGCAGTCCAACCACAAGCCAATCGGGCACAGGCAAGCCTAGTCCCTGGGTTGGAAATCTTTGTTACCAAGAGCTGCTGGCCAATCAGAAGCCAGCAACTCCACAGGAGAGACCAGGACTGTTGCTGGGATGAATAGATCAAGGAGCACATCAGGACGCATGTAAGTAATATTGGGGTGATGGGAGGGGTTCACAATGCGGGTGTCATGGGCAGAGGAGGGTAGTGGGATTGGCAGCAAGGGTAGGAGAGTGGTTCTCAGTGAACCTACCCCAATTCCTGATGATGAGCTCCTCAATCAGATACTGAATGCTTTTGATTGAGGAATCCCCATCACTGTGAGATGACAAGTTAGCTGCATGATTTTAACTGCCATGCATGTTACCTTCCTGGAGCAGTGATGGGATGAAGCTATCGAGCACTTGATCTCAGTTGGTGGCAAGGTGGGAAAGTTGTCCATGATCTACCCTCACTGAACGTTAGTAAATTCAAAACGCTGCTGCCCATGTCCTAGCTCACACAAAATCTCATTTATTCACCAATGTTCATCCTGACCTACACTGGTTCTGAGAAAAAAAACATTATTTTTAAAATTCTCCTCCTTTTCAAATCCCTCCAAGGTCTTGCCTCCCTCGACCTCTCTCTAATCTTCTACCCCAATACATTCAGGCATATCTGCACTCTTCTAATTCTGCCCTCTTAAACATTGCAAATTTTAATTACCTCACCATTGGTGGTCCTGCCTTCAGTTACTTTGGCTATAACTCTGGAGGTACCTTTCCTAACCTCACTTTCTTCCCTAAGACACCCCTTAAACTGATCTCATGGACAAGGCTTTTTGTCATTAGTCCTAATATTAGTTTACATGTTTACTATCCTCTCTGTTTTATAATACTTCTCTGAAATATAATGTGATACTTTGCTATATATGTTAAGGTCATGTAATACAAGTTATTATTGTTGCAAGGTAACACTTGTATCTCTGAGCCAGAAGCCTGAGGCTAATTCCCATCATGGGACTTAGGTGCATATAATTTGTAGTTATAAAGTGCTTTTCAGGGCTATTAATTACCTTAAAGCACTTCACAGCCATTCACTATGATTTTTTGAATTAGTTTTGTAACATATGTTGTAAAGCAGCAATTGCTATACTGTATAATTTAGGTATTTTAATCAAACTATCCAGGAACATTATGACACATTCCTGGAGCAAGTGGAATTTGAACCCAGCCTCCTAGCCCAGAGGTAGAGACATTACCACTATGCCACAAGTGCGCCTGCACTGAATAATCAAGACGTACACCTTACTGTAAGAGCCAGGTAATACTAAATTGTCCCTGTGGGTGCCTTTTGAGCAAGATTTTAAATTAAGACTCAAGCTGCTTGTTCAAATTAGGCTATTGTGTTTAAAATCCCATGGCACTTTTTAAAGCAGTCGCAGCATCCTGCCTAGCATTTATTTCTTAAATAACATCATTAAATAAAAAAAATTCTAGTGATCCTTTCCCTGTCTTGACATATTTAAGTTGTCTGTTTTAGTTGCGTACGATAAAAAAAAGAATTATACTTCTAAAAATAATGTGCTGAGTTTTATTTTGAAACACCATAAAGATGTAAAAGACGCTGTATAAATAAACGCCTTCATAATTTGCCTTGGGGGAAAAAAATTGTAAGTATCAATAATACCTTCCAAGTGAAGTAAATGGAAAACAAAAAAGCTATTATATTTTGGTTTGAATTTCCAAGCAGTCCTTTCCATTTAAATGCAGGCTCATTTTGCAACCTGACCAATGTTTACATTTTTTGAACTTCCGTTGCTGGGACCAAAAGGACAAGCTCCTGTTAAAAGGAAGAGCTCCAAATTGTTCCCAAGCTGGGCTGGAGGTGACCCTGTAACAACAGGACGGACTGAACAGAAGTGGCTAGATCCCGGAATGATTTCGACCATCGTAGCTGGAATGCGCTGACCGAATACACACAAAACCCACTTTGGGCTGGAAGTACCACTAGAAATTACGAAATTCACACACGCAAAAACAGAAATTGTTGGAGAAACTCAGCAGGTCTGGCAGCATCTGTGGAGAGAGAAACCGTTTCGAGTTCAGCGATCCTCCTTCATAATAGTTTCTACCAGAAACCGTGACTTTTGTATTGCCGGAGAAAGTGGACTCGAAACGCGAAATGCTTCTTTCCCCACATGCTGCCAGACCTGCTGAGTTTCCCCAGCAAAATTGTAGATTTTGGTTTCAAGTCTCCACCGTCGGCAGTTTTTTCTTCCCTTTGCTGCATTGATTCAGCTTGCCCTCCAACAACCAGCAGTGCTTGTTGTTCTGCGTCCAAAATTCAGAAGCAGGGATCATCGAGGAACGCCCTGCGAGCTACAAGATGGAGCACACACGGGCCAAGCTGAGCCCGAACCTATCTTTAGTGTGTGGAGGGGGCGGGGTTAAGGGGCGGTGCGCTCTCAAACCCGCCCCCTTTGACGCACCCGCGCTTCTTGATTGGTGCGCGCCGGGGAACCCGCTGTTCCCTCAGAGGCTCAAAGCGGCTGTCACTCTCAGCGCTTCTGACGGCACAATGGGAGCGGGCCGTCAGTTTAGGTTGAGAGGATTGTGAGAGGGGGGCGGAGCTGCAGCCCGCCGCGCTGAAGCCTGGCGGTGGAAGCGTGAGAACCGGAGACTCTGAGCAGCAACATCTGGGCTAGCTCTGAAACTCACACAAATACCGCCCTCCGGGACACCACCATCTCACACGCTGCCGGAGAAAAGAAGAATCAGAACCTTTAAAGAAAAGGAGAGTTTTCTTTTTTGTCATTTTTTGTTTTTTTTTTAGAAAAAGGATCAAATACATGCGAGGATGCAGTCTGCCGGCGAGGACGTGTCGCAATCAGACAAGAAATTATTGGAGGATCTTTCGGGAAGTGGTAGAGCCATCGGCGTCCTGACCAGCGGAGGAGATGCGCAAGGTAACAGCGGTTTAAAACATAAAACAGTCTTTTGCTGAGGAGTGAGGGCACCTGGTTGGATTTGCAGCCGGGACAGAAGCATCCTTGTGCCAGGCAAATGTTTGGCGTACTTATTATTTTTTTTCGTGAAGAAAAGACGCGTACACGTTATAAAACCTGTGAGCCATCCCACCCGCTCAATGTAGAGAGAGAGAATCACATTTCCTCGTCCTGCATTCTCCGAACCGCATTGCGTTGCTTTCGATTCTGCAAACCTGGTAAGATTCCAGGCAGCCCCAGAACAAAACAGAAATTTCCATTTTGGAGCAAGAATAAATTTTTAAAACAAAACTTTCAAACATTGTACTTTTTTTTAAAAGAAAAGACATATCAGCCGGCCAGGTAGAGAATGCCTCCCGTGTTCCCTTCCTATGGAGAAGTGACAGCCGGCTGATTGGATTTGATTTCAGTGCAAGTTGAGCGATGAACGGTTTAAACAGATATGTCTCCCTGCTGGTTTGTGTGTTTGCGGGTGTAGGTGGTACCCATGCGGTGTGTTAGTTTGGTTTTTATTCCGTTGGTTTTTGAAGATGCTGTAAGGAAGAGCGGTGTACGTGCTCCGGACCCACTCATTGCGGTTCCGAGTTTCCGCGTCAATTTCTAGGGGAGGGGTTCACTCCGCGTGTTACAGTGCAGGCCGACCAGCCACATTATGCAACTCACATATAAATTACAAATCAACTCCTTCAGTCACCTTCTTAGAAGAGCATTCGTTAAGGTGGACAACCATCTCGGCCGCCTCTCTGCTTCTACCCTTTTGGTGCTGGAGATAGCAGGAACTGCAGATGCTGGAGAATCTGAGATAACAAGATGTAGAGTTGGATGAACACAGCAGGCCAAGCAGCATCAGAGGAGCAGGAAGGCTGACGTTTCGGGTCTAGACCCTTCATCAGAAATGGGGGAGGGGAAGGGGGTTCTGAAATAAATAGGGAGAGAGGGGAGGCGGATAGAAGATGGATAGAGGAGAAGATAGGGGGAGAGGAAACAGACAGGTCAAAGAGGCGGGGGTGGAGCCAATAAATGTGAGCGTAGATGGGGAGGTAGGGAGGAGATAGGTCAGTCCAGGGAGGATGGACAGGTCAAGGGGGCAGGATGAGGTTAGTAGGTAGGAGATGGGGGTGGGGCTTGAGGTGGGAGCGGGGATAGGTGGGAGGAAGGACAGGTTAGGGAGGCAGGGACGAGCTGGGCTGGTTTTGGGATGCGGTAGGAGGAGGGGAGATTTTGAAGCTTGTGAAATCCACACAGATACCATTGGGCTGCAGGGTTCCCAAGCGGAAGATGAGTTGCTGTTCCTGCAACCTTCGGGTGGCATCGTTGTGGCACTGCGGGAGGCCCAGGATGGACATGTCGTCTGAGGAATGGGAGGGGGAGTTGAAATGGTTCGCGACTGGGAGGTGCAGTTGTTTATTGCGAACCGAGCGTAGGTGTTCTGCAAAGCGGTCCCCGAGCCTCCGCTTGGTTTCCCCGATGTAGAGGAGGCCACAACGGGTACAGCGGATACAGTATACCACATTAGCAGATGTGCAGGTGAACATCTTCATGTGGAAAGTCTTCTTGCGGCTTGGGATGGAGGTGAGGGGGGAGGAGTAGGGGCAGGTGTAGCACTTCCTGTGGTTGCAGGGAAAAGTGCCGGGTGTGGTGGGACTGGAGGGGAGTGTGGAGCGGTCAAGGGAGTCCCGGAGAGAGTGGTCCCTCCGGAAAGCAGATAAGGGTGGAGAGGGAAAAATGTCTTTGGTGGTGGGGTCGGATTGCAGATGGCGGAAGTGTCGGAGGATGATGCGTTGGATCCGGAGGTTGGTGGGGTGGTACGTGAGGATGAGGGGGATTCTGTTTTGGTGGTTATTGAGGGGAGGGGGTGTGAGGGATGAGTTGCAGGAAATGCGGGAGACGATACAGTCATCAACTCACCCTCAACAACTTCTCTTTCAATTCCTCCCACTTCCGACAGACAAAGGGGGTGGCCATGGGTACCCGCATGGGCCCAAGCAATGCCTGCCTCTTTGTAGGTTACATGGAACAATCCCTCTTCCGTACCTACACTGGCCCTAAACCCCACCTCTTCCTCCGTTACATTGATGACTGTATCGGTGCCGCCTCGTGCTCCCACAAGGAGCTCGAACAGTTCATCCACTTCACCAACACCTTCCACCCCAACCTTAAGTTCACCTGGACCATCTCTGATACCTCTCTCTCCTTCCTGGACCTCTCTATTTCCATCTCTGGCAACCACCTGGAAACCGATATCTATTTCGAGCCCACTGACTCCCACAGCTACCTAGAATACACCTCCTCCCACCCACCTTCCTGCAAAAATGCCATCCCCAATTCCCAATTCCTTCGCCTCCGCCGCATCTGCTCCCAGGATGAGGCATTCCACTCCCGTACATCTCGGATGTCCTCGTTTTTCAAGGACCGCAACGTCCCCCCCTCAGTGGTTGAGAACGCCCTCAACTGTGTCTCCCTCATTTCCCGCAACTCATCCCTCACACCCTCTCCCCGCAATAACAACCAAAACAGAATCCCCCTCATCCTCACGTACACTCCCCTCCAGTCCCACCACACCCGGCACTTTTCCCTGCAACCG